AAGCTTCCTGGATGGGTCTTGAAACTTGGAAACCAAGTCCAGTGGATTGTTTTTTAGCTTTTTTGGACAGAGCAGTAATGAAAGTATAATTCAGTTGGATTACTCATCACTAACTCTGATGCACTGGAGACAGAAATCTTTCATATGTGCCTTGTGTCATTTCTTCTGGTTAAGGTTCATCAGACAGAAGGAGGCGTACACCATTTCAGATCCCTCACAGCCTAGTGTTCCTTCCTGACAGAAAGGAAGTTTGTGTAGCTGACAGGGAAAATGGACGTATCCAGTGCTTCATAGCAGAAACTGGGGAGTTTGTCAAAGAAATAAAAAATGAAGAGTTTGGAGGAGAAGTTTTCGCCATCGCCTATAGTCCTGCTGAAGGTTAGTATCCCGCCAGTCATCCACAACTTATCCTTTCTTTTAAGACTTTATGATTTTAAATTTCAGTCTCACTCTCCTCAATTTGGTGCAATTTAATACAATTTGAACTTTGCTTATGTTATTTGTAATTGAGTTTGTATATGTTTCATTTAGGGGATTTTTTTATATTGTTGATGTGTTTCATGGTTGTTTCGGTCCTTTCTCTTTATTTCTCCTCAATGAAGATGGCCTGATCTTTGCGGTGAATGGGGACTCATCCCACCATTTTACTCCTCTTAGAGGTTTTGTTCTGGGTTATTCAACTAAGCAAATTTTGGATTCCTTCAGCCCCACCCAAAAGGTAAACACCTGGCAACATGCTTACATAAACAAAGAATTCACCTTCAACCAGCCCCACACCCTACTGAATAAAGAGAGGCCAGAAAACCGTGGCCTAAAATGCATTTTATTATTACAAATTTTGGGTTTATTTTGTATTTTTGTAATTGTTCTAGTAGCTTCAGTCCTTAAAAATGCTAAAAGTGGTGGGAAGGGTTGATATTTTGAGATTACGATTAATAATTAAATTAAATGCCTGTTTTACGACCAATTAAATTACTTTTAAAATAATTTTATTGTTTGTTTTTTTATTGGCTTTTCTGCTGTAGAGAGGTTTAAACCAGGGTCAGGATGCTAAACAGCTCTTAGAGCTCTGTTTAATCAAAGGGTTTGACTCAAAGGCAAATAGACAAAGGCTTAGCATTGATTTCAATAGAAAGGCGAATGAGGAAGAACATTACTTATAAATGTAGCCATGAAATGTGTAAGAGCTTCAGGGAATCAGGAGGGATAATTAAATAATGTGCTTGCAGTTTCCCACAATGCATAGAGGGATGCAGCACTCTGAGGTTAAGATGGGAACCAAACAGGCGGATTCAGACTTAGGCTGAAACCATTAGCACTAGAACTCCCAATGCCGTCATTTTGACGGTTCTGAGATTTTAAAGGCAAAGAACTTTATTTACATTAATCATATGTTGCTAATGTTAACTGACTTTTCCTGTTTCTATATTTCCTTCATTTTCACATAGTTTTTTTTTAAAATATAAAATAAAAACTTTAAAATGTAGTTAATTTTACATGATCTCCCACGGCCTTCATTTTGATGGCTCTATTAGTTGCATTTGAAATTCTTCCAGCGTTGATTGACGTTTAGCACCATTGCCTAGCAACCAATATTCTACCTAGAACTCTTTGGCTAATATGGAAAATTGGCTTTTAGAAAAAATCTAACAGCAAAAGAGGCTTTAGAAATGCTTTAAAATATTGGTGATAGCGATCCAGGTGGAGAGGGAATAATGAGAAGTCGGTAGGAAGCGGCTCAGATTCCGAAAGCAAGTCCGAGGGTGATTGCCCACCCCAGGAAAAACGCAGACTTATCAGTGACCCATCAGACAATAGTGAAAGTTTTGTTCAAGGTTTGGATAGCACTGCCCACACCTCAAATAATGGTGAACTACTTTAGTAATCGATTAATCGTTAACTAGAATATAGAGACTCTGAAACATGTCTTTAGCTGAAAGAGAGATCCACTTAGAGCAGTAATTATACCAAAACTGTAACAAAAACATAAGTATTTTGCATGTAAGTTTAACAAAAACTTTTTTCAGCTGCCAATATGCTTTATCCAGAACTCCACAAAACTAAAGTTTTAGTTTCACCTGGTTCAGTTCTGTAAAAAATCTTCTCTACATAACTTTTTGCTATCTGATTATTAACTGTTTGATGGATTAGCAAAATAATCTTTAATTGCAACCCTAATTCAAATTATCAAAGACCTTCTCTGCAACACAACTTCATGCAACCTTTAATCTCCCTCGGCGTTTTGTTGTTTGCTTTTCCATTGTGAGGCCATAAGCCTGAGACGCCCATTCACATGAGCAGCAGCTCCTCCAGTTTCATTAGCTTTAAAACAAGGACCGTTCCTCATTTCATAAGAATGTGAGTACGGACTCGTGCCTTCGCCAAGTATGTTCTTGAGAACAACACATAAACAGACAACAGGGGCACCCAGCATAAATAAAATACATTGAAGTTTGTGTCAACTGGGAAAATTTTGAAATTTTGAAAACTTTTTAGATATTCATGATGTTTCCTCCTCCTTTGAAGTATGAACTGATCAGTGTTTTCCTTTTCAACAGGAGTTTAAAATGCCTCATGACATTGTTGTAACTAAGGATGGAACTGTTTTTGTTGGGGATGCAGGAAACAAATCAGTCTTTAAGTTTTCTGCTGAAAGTAAGTTCATCTTCATTATTGCCACTCTGAAGCATTCTGTAAAAGTTCTCCTGCTTTTCAATGTTTCCAGGCAGGGAATCCGAATAATTGTCTATAATCGATTTTTGTTGTTATTAGATGTGAAGTTCCATTTGTGATGTGTGCATACTACATTCTTTACTTTCTATTAGAAACTTGTCTGTCTGTTCTTTGCAGAGTTGCACCGCTCTGTCAAGAAAGCTGGAATTGAAGTCCAGGAACTTGAAGGTAAGCTCTGCAGAATGTAACTTAGCTGCTGATATTTTTAGTAATATTTTATGTGAAATGTTCCTAATATTTCATACTAAAGTGATGTTTGAGACTTGGTATTTTTACAGTTCTTTTTTTTTCCATTCTTACACAGAAAATTAGTTATACTTTTGGTTTAACACTAATAAAAAAGAGGATATTTAAACAAAACGAAAGCCAGAAAAATCAAGAAACAGAAACAAATTCTATATATATATATATATATATATATATATATATATACAAAAATAATAAATCCGCTGTTAGTTGACGAGGTTGACCTTGGCGTTTGAAAAAGCGATCCCATGAGAGAAACAGGAAGCGATGGAGAGAAATCACAGATGCTATTTATTATGTTATTTCCATGTTTTTTTAGATTCTCTAATACTTTCAATGTTATGTGGTCTTGTTCAGAGGTTTTGCAGACATTTTCTAAACTTGACAATGTTCTAGGGGTGGAACGGTTCACAAAATCAACGGTTCGGTTCGATTCACGGTTTCGTGGTCACGGTTTTCGGTTCGGTTCGATTCGGTATATGTTGATTGTTACCCCGAAATCCCATAAAAATTTATGAAATTAATGAAAAAAATCCCCCCAAAAATAATGGATTATTTAGTATTATTTAGTATTATTAGTATTATTTTAAATGAAACCCTGGATCATTTCCGTATGTTTTTCTGCTTTGAATTTAATCATCTGGCGCATGCTCTCTACCATCTCCAAGGAACTCAGAGCGGAGCGGACGGGAGCCACAGTGGAGGGTGTAGGCTTAGCTTTGTGCAGGCGGTCTGGAGCGCAGCGGGGCGGAGCGCTGACGGAGTATGTGGGATTTCAGGGTTAGCATGACATGTTGGTCATGTTGCTGTTAGCATAAACAAAACGTGTTGCACAATGCTTGCACACTGTTGCACTTTTATCCGCAACTTTCTTTCCGCCGTCATCGTAGGTCACTCTAAATGCAAAGTGGTCCCATACAGCAGACCTATAAAGTGCTGCTGGCGCGTCTTCCAACTCCTGTTCTTTCCCTCTCGCCATACCCACACAATTCTCCACAACTGATTTTTTTCCCCTGCTACACCCGGCTACGCTGCTTCGCTTCTTCTTCTTCTTGTTTACTACTGGTGGTTGGCTTTGGTCGCAGTACCGCCACCTTCTGCTCTGGAGTGTAAACGCTTCGCCTATGAGAAAAAGGAGCAGCGCATAAACTCTAATAGTTCTCTACTTTTTGGACAGTTTTGACTTTTTTTTTTGTAATTTGCGAGTGAAATTTCTTTTTTCATTCTGAATGATGTCACATTTTATTTGGTATTGTGTGCAGTATCATTTGTAAAAAGCTTTGAGCTGGTTAAAATAAACTGTTTTAAATTTAAAAACAGATGTTTGAATGAGTATATCAGTGCAATTTTATGTGCTCTATTGTTTATGAAGGTAATTTAAACATAATGTAATATATATTTTGTATCGCGATTATAACTCAAATATATTACTACTTTCAAAACCCAGAATAAATAATGTCTGGAGAATTTTATACTCTAAGAGAAGAAGACCATTTATAAGATATATAATCTGTCCAATCATTTTACTGTGTGTAATTATTGACATTGACCCTAACCTTCTGACTCATTTTTATTTTCTATCTTCAAACTAACATCCTAAACTTGATGGTGATCTGGTTGATTCTAGTATAAAAATATTAGAATCAACCAGATCACCAAGTCAATTCAAACTATATTTCTCTGCTCACAAATTATTTTTTTTTCCTTTAGTAAAAGCTGGTGATAATTAATATTGCTTGTTTAATCTCTCCATGTAGAAGTCGAGGCATTTGTTCAAGCCAAGCTGAGACCACATCTCAACATTTCAAAGGTAGCCACCATCAAGGAGAAGCAAACTGTGGCCGAAAAAACCCATCCACTGGTGGAAGTGGAACCGAGGAAAAGCGCTCCTAAAGCCGACAGAAAACAGAGCGTCCTCCCAGCTGTCGTCGTTTCTCTGCTTCTCATCCTTCTGCTGGTCATCGTCTTCCTTGGATTCTTCATGTGCTGGAGTAAAAACAGTAAGTATGAAGAAAAATAATAGCAGGGTTGGAAGTTCATTCTAAGTGCATTGGTGCTACCAGGGGGTTAGCCTCGTGAGACCATCCTGATCTCGCGAGCTTTCAAGGTTTCACTTGCTAATCAGTCTGTAGACTCTCCGTTAAAGAAAATTTGGAGCCGTTCACCAAACGAGCGTCCAATCAGCGTTGGCTTTGAGGCGGGTTGAGGTGTGACGCAACGAGAAGCGCGACAGTTCAGTCTAAAGAACATGGCGGCTTCAGCCGATGAAACTAGCGTTAGCGTGGCTATCGAGCAAGTTTTATCGAGAATTACAGAGTATTTCTTCACTGAAAGAAGAGCAAAACACTGCTCTGGAGGCTTTTCTCAGAGGAAAAGATGTTTTTGCTCTTCTCCCGACTGGTTTCGGCAAGAGTAGCCTGGCTTGTGGTTGTGTTTTCGCTCTGTTAGTACGTCATATGCTTCGTTGATCTGATTGGTTTATTTGGCCCGTCTATCACCAACATAGGCCAATCAGCTAACCAGTATTTTCGCCCCTTCCCAAAATTACTGCAACGGAAGGTGTCCAGATGGAGTCAGAGTCAGGTTACTAGGGGGTGGCCATCCTGTGAAATGCCCTGGCCACCCCACTCACCAGTGTAAATTGTAGCATCAATGAAGCTTTCCATCCCATCATGCACAGCCAGCGACGTAACATTAAAAATCACACAATAAACAAAGATGTTTACTAAAGTCTTAATGATTTCTACAGGCAGGTGAACCACGATAGAAGAATCAAACCTTGAAACTATTGCCTTTAGTTTCAGTGTGCCACCCCAAGTTTTTTAGTGGCCCCATCTTGCCATCCCTAGGAAACATTTCTGGAGGCGTCACTTTTTTCCAGCTGGAAGCAACAGTTTCTTCTGGAAGAAACTTAGAAAGTCAAATTTACTGGAAGCTTTTATTTTGGTAAATATTCTGCCTTATGCAGGCCCAGATCCAGTAATAACCTTGAGGTGGGGTTCAACATGTATAAACCAGATGTTTGGTTTGGTAGTGTTTCAACGTGGTTGTTACTTTGGTAGTTTTGTTAAAATAAGGAAAAACAAATGCATTGTCTTATTTGAAGTGCATATTATCTAATTTTCTTATATTTGGGAGAGTTAGTGGCCTAGTTGTTAGGGCAAGAGTAAAAATACCCATTCCACTGGCAAATGATCTTTTTTCCCTGTCTTAAATTAGGGGTAAATACACTTAATTTAAAAATTCTTTTGCTTAGTTTTAGGTGGTGATTGCACATTTAGGAAAGCTGATTAGACATCAAGCTGCCTGCAAAGAATTTCCGTCAGACTGAAAACCCAAAGTAGATAATCGGCATGCAGATAAGCTTCCCTGAAATTGTCTGACAGCTAGAGCAGAAACTCCACTTGTTAATCCTTCGTGATACTAACCTGATGTGCCCTGGTGGCATAACAGTTATAAACCTGGCATCAGTTTTATCAAACGCCCTACATGGAATTTAAAGCTCCTTCAGGGAAAGAAGAGAAATGAAGATTTAGTTTACAGGAAGCAGCTCTGTGCTTCCTCTAAACGTCTCGTCCCCCGCTCATCAACTGGTGTGAACCTAACATTAAATATTTATAGTGAATGAGGTGTTAAAGTGGTGGGGATCTGTGTGACCTGACCTAATTTAGGGTTCTCTTTGTTTTCAGAGAGAAATGACATTAAACTAGAGCCGCACTCTATGGGTGGAGTCCTGGGGAAAATTCGAGGTAAGTTATTCATCATAGTACAAACTGAAAACTGGAAATAATCAACATTTGTGGCACTGTGAAAACTCACCCTCCAAAAATTTAAAAAATACTTAGAATAAGTATATTTGCCCTTAATTTAAGAGGGTAAATCAGATTATCTCAGTGTTTCTGCCTTTAAACTAAGGTAATTGGAGATTATGGAATTTAATTAAGATAACAGAGATGATTTTCTTCTTATTTTAATCGTAAACAATAGAATTAAATTAGTTTGTAGTTTTTATTTGATTCAAGGAAAATAATATTTTAAGACAAATTTACTACTGACTTTTTAAATTAGGCAGGGTCTGTAGTTTACATAGATAGAAAACTGAAAATAGATGATCGCCATTGTTCATCGCCTCTACGTGATTATTGAAGGATTTAGGAGCTAATTTGACAACTAAGCTCTATGAATACTTTTATCAAGCAGTAAGTAGAGAATCCAGTTGATTTACCAGCATGTGATGGAGTTTGATAAAGGTAGCATCTATGGTTTGCAGGAAGCTGGAGAGGTATTTTATATTTAGATTAATTTTTCTTTATTCAGAACCGGAAAACCTCAACTTTTTAAGAGCTGAGAGTTTGTGAAGCTGTATGTACCTCCCCTACCTGACAGATACTTATGGTGGACTCTGCAGAGGATCAAACGTCACTCTCTAAAACTTTTAATTAACCTAATAAGATATTCTAACTTAATTAGTGTTAATCTACCCCACTGGTTTATAGTCTATTGGAGTTTTCTTTAGCTGTTCTGGCCTTTAGAATTTGCCTCTCAGCATTGAAGCCACATTTCTGTGTTTGATTTAACATCTAGTATTCTGATCTAAAGTTTTGCATAATTTCTGTATTATCTCTCCTTGTGTAGATTAATTTATTTACAGGATGTATTAGATAGATCCCTGGAATGTCATTGATTTTGCAGAGCAAAGGTGAGCATCTGAGTTGAGTCAGTTTAAGAACAGTGGAGATTTTAAAATAAATACTTTGACTGCTTAGTCTGAGATTTCTGGACATTTTGATTTTGCCCTGACTAGTCTTTTTGTGATCTGTTCGAATAAAAATAAGAAAGACAAACAAGTTTAGTTTAGCATTAAAAAAAACAAAACTGAATTTTATGTTCGTGTTCTATCATAAATAGAGCAGCTGACTCAGAATTGCATTATACCAGGAAAGACCCATTATAGGGCAAATTACCATTTTTGATCACTGTCAGACCCCTTACAAATGGAATCCCCCCCCCTCCGTCCCTCAGTGAGGTCTAAAAGCACAAGATCTATATCCAGCCATTAAGCAAAGATGCTCCTACATGGCTGTACATCTCTAATGCAAATAAAGTTGAAAAAAGTAAACAAGTCAAGAAAAAAGGTTAAAAGCTAAGTGAAAAGTTAAAAAGTAAAGTTAAAAAGTTAATAAGCCTAGTTAACAATTATATTTAAGTTTATAAACCAAAGAATTTAAGTGCCAGTATCAGCATTAATGCCTCTAAAAAAAAAAAAAATGTGTTTCTTTTACTCTCTGTTTTTCATTAATTTCTTACAGAAACACTTTTGTTATTTTTCTTAATATATTTGGGAAATTTGGCGTTTCTTGTTATTAAATTAATTAATTAATTAATACATTTTTGCCATCAAAATATCCATATTTTTCAATGTTACAAAGGTAATAAGGTCTTGTGCTGGAATTTAGATTTTCAAAGTATTTCAATGACTGCCCTGTAAAGGGTTAATTAGAGGTGAGAATATACCTGATTTGGAATTGGTAGCTCTATATATTGCATATAAACAGTTTGCATTAAGCAGGAAATCTGCAGTGAAGGGTGACCTGATGTCAACAGGAGCTAACTCCGTTCTTCTCTGCATCCTCACTCTCAGGTAAAGCTGTGGGGACTTTGAACCTGGGGAAATTCTTTGCTTCCCACAAAGGCTACAGTCGTCAGGGTTTCGACCAGCTGAGCACTGAAGGCAGTGACCAGGAGAGAAACGTGGAGGACAGCAGCGATTCTGACACAGAGGAGTATTCTGCTCCTCCTCCTCGTCCACCTCCTCCTCAGTCCTCCTCTTAGGCGGGCGGCCCAGGCCCAGCTGCCTCTCATTTATCACACCTGCTTATTCAATGTTTTTGTAAATGTTGTCAGCTGCCAATAATGCTATTTATTTTATATTTTTAAATGTTTTCTTGTATATAAAATTTATTTTATTGTCATCTTGATAAAGTGTTGGAGACAAAATAATTATATTTATATTTTTCTTCTATAAAAATTGCCTTTATGGAAAATATTAGCTCAGTCCCTAAAACAAATGTCCACTAATTTCATGTTTAGCCTTAAAAGTCAAAGAAAATCTGCATTATTATTATGTGAATGATTTTCATAAAGTTTTTAATATTTTTTTTTTAATCTTTTTTTGTTTCTTTTAAATAATTTTAATACAATTTTCAGCTATATCTGACTGAAGTGCATAGACCAATGCTAATGCTAGGTGGGGCTGCTGTCAGGTCTTTTTTTCACCCCGCGGCTCCTGCACATGATTCACTCTGCTGGAAAATGGTCGATAAATTTCATCCTAAATTTCAATATTTTTATGATGGGGACAGAAATCAAGCAGGATTTTAGAGCAGAAGCCTGTAACGTGTAGCTGAAATTGAAATGGTAACATCTAATGTCCTTTCTGCATTAATGTTGTACTTGCGTATCATTTGATTTGTAATTCTGTGCCTTCCTCCATTTGCATTGTTGTTCTCTTAAAGGAAAATATTCTGTATCTTCATGCTTCTGTAGTGTTTTGGTTGGTGAAACTCGTTGCAGCAGTTGGTTAGATTGATAAATTGATTCTTTACATTTAATGAGTTTACAAAAAAAAAGCACACTTGTTCTGATACTGTATTTAGGACAGCATGAAGAGACTAAGAATTTATTTTCCTTTTAACTGCTATTTAGACACTTTGTTTAGCAAATGAAAGTGAATAATTCAGTATAGATGCATCGAAAAACAAAACAAAAAAAAGTATGAATTTATATGCTCAGGCCACTCAGTTGCTTTCTGTATCACCAGGTTTTGTGTTGTTTGTTTTTAGTTGTTATTTTTAAACTGTTTTTTTCTGCCACTGCTCATAGTTTGCTATGACTTTTTAAAGGCTTTCCTTACCGCATGCCATAGATATTAAGCTACGCTGTAACATATGGCCTACCATATGGCCTACAGTTGTTTAAGTACAAGAGTGCTATTTTCAGTAACTGTTGTATTTGTGTAATAAAGTGTCTGCAAAGCATCGCTGCTGATATTTTGTGTCTAACTGACCTTGGAGATCATTACATTTAGTGTAAGATGTTGGATATATAAACGCTCAGAAGAAGCCTGGTTGGGGGGTGCATGCATATCTTGGTCAGATAGGGCGTCCCATCCACACGAAAAGGCAATAAAAAATCAACTGGAACCTTCTCCCAGAATGGATGAGTTTGGAGCTTTCCTCATGCACTCTGTCATGGTAACCTGCTGCATAACCGGCTTTTTTTCTACACGCCACCCAACCTGACCCTCACTACCCACAAGACGCATTTACAGAACAGACATTAATGACGTGCTTTAGATTTGAGGTTCTGTTTTTGAGTTATTGAAAATATAGTGGACTTTACACTTAATGTATGTTGCCTCCTTTACGAACACTTCTTTCTTTTTTTTCTGTGTTCATTTTTGACCTCATGGGTCATCGGCCACTTTTGTATCATCAGCTGTTTGATGGAACTTCTGATTCATAATTTAAAGGTATAGTGGAGGATTTTCACAAATTTTTGAAAATACCAACCCTCTCCACAAAAAAAAATGCACATGCACAACCCTGTACCCGTTCCCAAGAGGGAACGCCTGTTAAACGCGGGCGAGAGCGTGCACATGCCCATTTCTCATCACGCACGCTGTTTAAAATTTGCTGTTTGCATTGCTCATACAAGCTTACTTTCCAAAAGAAGGTTTGCAATTTTTCCTCTATGTCAGACTTGACACCACAAGAGCAGCATATTTGTCCTCCTTAATTGAGGAGAATAAGAATAATCCTATATATCTTTTTAATGCAGTTGCTAAACTCATCCAGAGCCATAACTCTGTTGAACCGTCCATTTTTATGGGATTCTTTATAGAATATGTTTACAAATACATATTAATTTGTTTCAATTAAAAATAAGATACCCCCTAACCCTCTGAAGGGGTCAATGTAGTGGACAGCTAAAAAAAAAGTGAATATCTCTTTAATGCATTGATTTCTCTAATGAAATTCCATGAGTGTTTAAAATGCTCTCTGCTGCCACACTCCATTGAGTTCAATTCAGTGGTCAGATACTGCAAGTAAATGTCTTCTGAATCCAGAAAGCCCAACAGTATGCATCCAATCCAAGGCCAACAGTATGTATTATCCAATATGTATAAAGTTACGATTAACCATGTGTCCAATTAAGTGGAGGTCATGCATCACCCATTGTAATTTTTCAACAGAAGGTATCACTTTTCTGTGGCTTATGATTGTTTTACTCTTACACAGACAGGCCATTCACTTATAATCTACATTTTAGTACTTTTTGTGTAAATTAGTTGTAGATTCTGTAACTATACCAATTATGTATATTGCAAACTTCTAACACATCAAAGAATAGGGCAGCCTAGAGAATAGTTTAAGATCCAGCTCCAGTTGTCATGAGGACAGAGAGTGTAGTGCCAACAGTTATGATGAGAGGCTGGCAGAGAAGAACAGAAATGATGATGATGATGGTGATGATGATGGTGATGGAGATACAGACAATTAGGATAAAGAAAGTGAGGGTGATGAAGGCCAGGATACAGAGGAAGGGTCTGCCAGATCAAGAAGCTGCGGATGATGGGCACAGAGCACCTGACCGTACCTAACCCCAACTTAAAGAGGTAAAAAAAATGCAAACATATGTCATGATACTGCTTGCAAACAGAAGACCAAGCATGTCTGCATGCAATGCTGTGTGCCCTGGAAGCTTTGCAAACTTTCTTATAGCTTAGGTGTGATGGCCATCAAGATGTTAGGTGAGGCAAAGACTAGAAAGACAGTTCGTGTTTTGGCCGGTTAATACTGTCCGACATTTTTCCATCTATTTTCTTCCGCTTTATTCAGGGCCGGGTCGCAGAGGCAGCATTTTAAGCAGAGATGCCCACACTTCCCAATCCACACACACCTCTTCCAGCAGCTCTGGGGGGACCCTGGGACGACACCAGGCCAGCTCAGGGACATTGTCCCTCCAGTGTGTCCTGGGCCTTCCACAAGGCCTCCTCCCAATAGGACACGCCTGGAACACCTCCAGAGGGAGGCGACCAGGAGGCATCAGATGCCCGAGTCACATCAGCTGGCTCCTTTTGACGTGGAAAAGGAGCAACAACTCTACTCCGAGCTCCTCCCAGGTAACTGAGCTCCTCACCCAAACTCAAAGGGTGCACCCAGCCACCCTGGAAAGGAATTTAATTTCGGCCGCTTGTAGTCGCATCCTGCATTCTTAAAGGATTCTGGAGACCAACAGTGATGTTTCTTCTGTTGGAGATGATTTTTATGGCTATAAGTGTCATTGGTTTTCTCATTCAGTTTTCTCATTCAGTTCTACTCTTTCGTGCTCAAACAACTTCAGTTCAGTTCATGGCTGCTTTCAACAGACAAAAAGTGAATAAGAAAAAAGCAATTGCTTTTCAACTCAAAATGTTAACTGGTCTGTATTTATAAATATTAGATCATTAGTAGCATTAAAAATTACACAATAAACCAAGATATGAGTAGGTGTTTACTTAAGTCTTTATCATAGTTTTCTACTGGTAGGTTTACCACAATGGTAGATTGAAACCCTGAAATTATAGAATAAAAAAAAGTCTCTGTTTTGCACGATAACTTACAGTACTTCCTTAACTCAGCATGCTTTCTCTATTTTGATGGGTTGCTGTAAAAACCAACCTCTCAATGCCATTTGATGGGCTTTGTTTAAATACAGAACCTCTGTAATAGTATTTAGAGCTAATTTGACTATTAAATTAAACTGGAATATTCAGATATATTTATCTGATTTGTACAGAATTTGAACTGAAACATATTAATGAGTTCTGATTCACGCTGTATAAATAGAATCAATCTAATCCGATTGATTCAATTTTGCTGCAAATAACCATCCAGTACAAACATGACATTTTAAAGGGTTTATACAAAGTGCTGCTGATCAAAGTATGTCTGAAGTGTTTAGTGTGAAACAGAGGTTTTAAAACAGCATTGATGAGAAGTTGAAAAAATAAGGTAAAAAAAAAAAAGAAAAGAAAAGAAAAACAACTTCACTTAACAACATAGAACAACCCTGAGAAGAGAATTTGAATTTTTCTGGGGTACACCTCAACAACTTAAAACATTTGGTCCCATTCCTATTGTATTTTTATTGTGCATCACATAGATTCAGTTCCTGCCTGTTATTGAGGGATTCAAACAAATGGCTATGATTTGATGTAAGCCAGCACTATGTAGCTCTAGCTTTATGTTTCAAGTGTTGGAAGGTAAACCAGTGGCACAATTACAAAACTGGCATATAAAGAATAATTTTTCTTCCAGGACTGTCACGTACCTCTGACCAAATTATCTTTCCTGGCATGATATTCAGGCCAACCAAACACCCTTAGACATGGCGTAACTTATTCTCAATACTCTCAGTTCTAAACCAAACTGGACAAATCACAGAAAGGTAGGGCCCATAATGCAACAGTGCTTTTCTGTTACTGTAACAGTTAAGATTGTAACTGTAAAGGAGCAATGATGTAATGATGTCCTTTATTATGTCCTGACAGAACTGTTTAAAATTACATTTAAAACTTCAATAGCTGGTTGCTGAATTAATTTCTTTTTTTTTGCGTTAGATCCATAGTTATTTGATCTGTTCTAAACTCTTTCCACTGCCTCTCTTATTCCCACCTTTGAAATCTGTCATGTAAACAACCTGTGGAAGCAACTACAATTTTTAGTTCATGAGACAGACACCCTGTCTACTTTTAAGGCTAGGCTTAAAACTTTCCTTTTTGATAAAGCTTATAGTTAGAGTGGCTCAGGTTATCCTGAGCTATCTCTATAGTTATGCTGCTATAGGCTTAGACTGCCGGAGGACATGGGGACACCTTTTCATTACTCTGTTTCATTCAATCTCTATTCTGCAGCATTTGTGAGTTCAATCTCTGATGTTATTCTCTCTCTACTTTTTCTCATCATAGTAGCTTCATCTGGTCTGCTCCTGTTTGACTGTGAAACCATCCTGATGTGAATTGGCGCTATATAAATAAACTGAATTGAAATTGAATTGAGAGAAATATCAACCGTGCTGCTGCCATCAACACCTCTGTTTGTAGATGAGCTCGACTTGTTTTTCAGTGTAGTCCTGTTTCTCCGACTGTGAATAACTGTATGTGCTGTCTTTCATCCTTTGACATGGGAGGTGGCTCGGATGGTGGTGCGGTATGTTTGGGGTGGATGTGCAGTGTTAGTTTCCCTCTACATGCAGCATCTTGCAGGCATGTGAAGTGCTCTGTCCACTTTGAGCACCAAATTTTTGGACCTCTCTATGCGTGCCAGATCTCACCTTGAAATTAATTAACTGCTGCTTTTTTCTCACTTTCCTCATATAGCCATCACTTTTTTTTAGCTGTTACTCCTCTCCTGAGGGCAGGTAGCAGTAGTTATAACTATCTGTGGACTTCGTATTCTCCTGCTGTATAGATGATCCATTTGTCCATTTGCCTGAGCTTTAGTAGGACCAAATGTGTGGTTTCTTTAGTCTTCTAGAGATGAATACTGGCTCAGAGCTAATCCACTGAGCTCTGTTTCTTTCCCAGGTAAAGACATTTCAGGAGCTATTTCTGTAACTAAACTTTTATTTTTCTCCCAGATAGAAAAAAATTCCTAGATTAGTGCTTCTATGTTTCTTTAGTTTGTCTGCTCACTGCAGTTGGTTGTTGGTAGTGGTCTGCTGCCACTGAGCTTGGTTCTGCTGGAGCTTTCTTCCTGTTAAAGGAGAGTTTTCCTCTCCACTGTTGCTGCATGTATGTCCCATAAGTGAGATTGCTGCAAAGTCAGGAAAACATTGAACCAACCGTCCACTGTTGCCCCAAGGTCATTCAGGAGGAAATTCTGCAAAGTCAAACACTTAATGCAGTTTTCAGGGTTTTATTTGATTTCCCAAATTTTTCATGAAATTTTCTGTATGATTTGATTAAATTGGCTGTAAAGTGTCTCTAGAGGTATTTTACATCAGTTTACCTTTGGTTGTAAATGTAATTAATTTGTTTAATTTTGTTCAGATTATGAACGAGCCCTCCCCCCATTGTTTCCTGCAAAATGAAAACAGAAATTCTTGTGATGTCCATTTAAAGAGGAGCATTTTTTGAATGACTTTTCCATAAAGACTGGTGGGTATTAATACCTTTGCAAGGCACTGTACACTAATTAGAATTTTTTTTTAAACTTCTGGGTATAAAGCTGGAGATTTAAGTCTTAAATCCAGTGTACAGTCCATGCTGTAATCCTTAGATGCAGGATCAGACCTCCAAGGCTGAGGTGCTGAGAACATGCATTCCACCAGCTGTCTGTAGACAACTAGTACAAGGTTGTTAAATAAGCAAAGTTTTTAGGATTAGTAAGTGTTGGCATCCACATGCATTGCCTTATAAAGGCATTTAAATAGTCAGTTGATACCGCAGCACCTCGATAACATCTAACTCCTTTGATCCAGCAGCCTGTAGTCAGATGAGTCGTTCCTCTGGTGGGACTTTGAGCATACTGTCCATTTCCAGCCGGGCTCCGGCCAGTTCCTGAGCACTGGGGCTGTAAGCCCCCTCTGACTGGCGCTTCTTCCTTGCTGTGAGCAGCATGAAGGTCAAACCAATGATCAGGACCACCACGCATAGACAGAGCAGTGGAATAACAACCATCAGCCAGGAGACTCCCTGTTTATTGGCCTCCTTCTGCAAATGGACAAAAAACAACATTATGTCTTATTGCTGGAGCTTCATTATTTGTATAATATTCTTAGTTTATATGATCAGCTTAATAAAACTATGTTATAAAAATCCAAATATCATTAGACAGTACAGATAAAACAAACATACATTGACGTCACAAACTGGGCCGCTGTATCCAGGTGGGCATTCACAGACAAACATGTTGAACCGATCCAAACAGGAGCCCCCATTCTGACAGGGGTTAGAGTTACATTCATCAATCTCTGTTTCACACCTAAAAGAAGAAAACATGATGTCATGTAAAAGGCAGGTAACCCTGTAATTCCCCAAGCTTAAAGTACCTCCAGCATTTAAACATGTTTTAGACGTTCTCTATATTGGATTTAAAGAGATAAGGAATATGTGAAGACAGGAGCATTTGAGTCTGCTAGAACAGTGACCTCTACCTGACACCTACAGTATGAAGGACCATGTGAGCCAGGATAAAAGTGTTTTGTAGATTGTGTCACTGCTTTCTGTTTACATCCTAGGAGCCATAATGTTGTATTTAAATGGACCAAACCTTGATTTTGATTGATAATGGAATACCATTTGTTGTCTAAACTGGACTAGAGACACTAAGCAAGTGCACAGATAATTGTGTCTGGATTTATTGGACTTAAGACAAAAAACATTAATCAATAACGTCACATGTGATCCAGTTTTAAAAAGAGCCTTGGGCTCTAGACACATTGTTTTTATTAGTTCTAATATGCACCTTTTCAGCAAACTTTAAAACGGCTTGTTTTCAGGTTGTTTCTTATTTTAAGCATATGTATCATGATAAGTAATTGGAAGTGGGTCTGTGTCAAAAACTGTTGGAATGAGTAGAACTATGTAGCGTCTCAATGGTAGCACCTAAATCATGTCAGAGAGTTTCCCTTTAATAATTAAGAAACTTTTACAGTTCAGCGTGTCCCCTCAGGTAATTTATTTTTCCCACTTCAGACATAATTTGCACATGAAAAAAGTCTAGATCATTGTTTCCAGAGTTGGAAACTTTTTTCTCAGAAAGAGATGTTTTTTTATTTCAGCTTAAAGGAAAAGTTTGATCATATTCAGAATACAAACCTCTGAAAATACTTTATCAAATATGAAATTATTACATCCTGTTCAATAAATGATGCTTTTAATTAAGAGTAATTTTCATGTGAATGTGCTTTACTGGAGGCATCCATGTTTGTCAAAGAACACTACTGCCACCTACTGGTTAGTGACGTCACGGTGGTGCGGTATCGGCTGTTGATCAAGTCCCAGTGCTGTATCTGGTGTTTGTCACAACGCGCTATTATCCAAGTCATCTTGAAAACATTCTTCTTCCAAATGTTGGCTACATATTACGTGTTTTTTCTCTGGCCAGAAGTTCGATGGCAAATCCTCCCTCTTCAAGTTGGCGATCCAACGACCAACCCGTCCGCGGAGGATCAGGAATCAGAAAGGTGGAATAACTCTTTTTTTCACTTTTACCTGATGTATTCCAGCATCCAGCTGCCATGCACGTGGGCATTGTCAGTTTCACTATAGCTCTGGTGAATTTCAATGGTGAAGTCCTCTGGAAATCTTCAATAATTGTTGTTGATTGCAGATGTGTCTAGTAGTTCCCATTGATTTAGCTTGTAAAGCGGGGAGAATGGCGCTAGGCTTACCGCACCGTGACGTCACTGCTGGAAGATGGCAGGAGGGAGGGGCTACTAGATTTGGGCAAAAATGGCCGCTCTCCGGCTCTTAAATGATATTATATTAATATATATTTTTAATGAAAATTATTGTTTTTATTGTTTTACCAAATTCATTAAATCACAGCAAATGTATTAGTTTTATGTATATTTTTATATATATTATATATAGATAATGATCCTTTGATTATTCCTTGCTGACTGGACTTTTCCTTTAAATTGAGAAAGTGATGTCTGAATAAGCGTGGGAGGGAAGTTTTAAAGAACGGAGAATGAGAAGAAGTAAATTCCGTTTTCTCTTGTCACCCACCCCTCTCCTATTAAGGTGTTGAACCTTTTCTCTTTCACATGTATAATGTTGATCATTTCATCCTGATATTTTAGCTTTTCTATGTCTTATTTTGTTGTTGCTCTCATTTTTGTATTTCTTTGTTTTTATCCATATATCCAATTTATTGGTTTAAAATAATTCTTGTTGTCAATCCCTGCTATTTCTAAAGTACTTAATAGATAAAATTGACTTGGCCTTTTACTCCTTTTTTTTAGGAGATACCTAAAAAATGTGAAAAGTGAACTGCTTTTTTCCCCCCGTTTGTGTTTGACTGAATTTGCAAGTTCCCAGAGCTATCGGAATAGAAATATCCCTAAAAGCCTTCCTCAGATATCTGTTAAAAGGATCCTTTTAATTAAAGATTGTGATACCTGCTGCCTGTGAAACCCGCCATGCAGGTACAGTTAGCTCCCCACAGCCCGTCTCTGCAGATTCCATCATTTTCACACTGGACATCTGTTTTGCACTGTAACGGAGGATAGTCCCACCTAAAAGAGAGGACAAGGAAAGGATTTTAAGAATGCAAAACTTGATCAATGCTTTGAATGTATTGTATGGTAGATTTGTTTTATCAGTAACCCTGCTAATTCCTCACAGCCAAAACTTAAGCCAAATCAGTTTGGACATACAGTAACAGCCATTCAAAAATGGCCCTTCCCAGTCAAACTTCAGCCAAACGGCAGCTAACTTCCAGCCACTGAAGTGACCCCCTCCTTTTCCTGGGTATGCATATTTTTTTATTATGACTCCAACCTTTCACTGAATTACAGGGTCTGACCAAGAGACAACACTTCTTTTTAGATCTTAATGTCCAAAAAATCATGACAGAAAGAATATTTTAGTACAAAGATTGATGTTTAAATAAGGAAACTTAGGGGACCATCAAGGGCCCAGCAAGGAAAGTGGGGACATTTTGAAAGGCTACGACTGCAGGAGAAACTACTTTGCATTGTGGATAATTTTATGCAGAATCTACCGCTTTTTTGTAACGATAGGTAATGTCTACATTTTGTAAAAACAGCTCAGATGTGGGACAGAAAGAGTCAGCAAGATATTTTGTTTCTGCAAGTTTTTGCTCATCTTGTTCTCATGTTATTTATGTCAATAAACACGGGTCATTCACAAAATTAATAAAGGGAGCACTCACTGACAGCGAGGGCCACTGTAGTCTTTGGGGCACAGGCAGGTGTACATGTTGACACCATCCAGGCAAGTCCCGCCATGTTCACAGGGGGAAAGCTCACACTCATCAATATCTTCATCACACAGTGTGCCAGCATATCCAGGGTCACAGTGGCACTCAAAGCTGCCTAAATAGTCCTTACAGCTGCCATAAACACAGGGCTGAGATGCACAGTCATCAGTGTCCATCTCACATCGTTCTCCTTCCCAGCCAGTGTCACACACACAACCAAATTTATTGAATAAGTCTTCACATGTGGCTCCGTTTAGACAGGGACCAGATTCACAAACGGGTGCACTGCTACACCCCAGATGGACTTTTGGTTTTCCAAGCAGGTGAAACTGTGAGGGCTGCGGAGCTTTATGGTCGTCCACGAAGGGGAGATAGACGCCCCCGAGCCTCACTGCACCCAAACAGCCGGTGAAGCTGTCTGCAACAGTGAGCATGGCCCCCTTCTTATTGAGGAAACTCAGACTTCCTGCTCGGTCTTGTTTGCTGGTGACATCAGTGACTCCATTCAAAGTGATGATCCAGGGGGAGGCCTTCCGTCTCCAGTCAGCCATGGAGATGTTGATGCGCTGCCAGCGGCCATCAGCCACAGGACGAATCCCTTTTAAGGTCAGCGCCTTCATGCTACTGTCTGTCTGGATTTCCACCCAAACTGAGAAATCCAAGATGCCCACCATCAGCAGGTTGGATCCCCAAGAGGCCCTCAGGAGCACCGCATTCTCTGATCGGGTCCGCAGCTCCATGTAAATGTTAGAGACGGGTTCGGCTAGGGAGCCTCCGGCACTGTACTGCACAGGGTTGCCTTGAAATGTGGCGTTATGCAAACCTATCAATAGAAAAGGGAAAACATTTGTTTATTTATAATCTGTCAAATGAAAAGTAAATCATTAAGCTTTCTTGAATGTTACTGAGGATAGAAAACTGAACCAGCCTTCCCCTCTCCCATTACTCACAGCTCAGTTCAGGTTAAACAAATGACAGATTTAATAAATATTGCTTCTTCTCAAAATTATGCCAAAATCGAAGTCCTAATTGAATAAAAAAATATATATATCAAATTTCCACTGTTTAGGAAAAAAAATGGAATAGTAAAGTGAATTAAGCATATTCCACCAGTAGATGGAGGTACCATCAATGTGCTGCACATCAATATACTGAAGAAAAATCAGAGCATGATCTCTCACTTGATTTGCTTTTAAGCACATATAGGCAAAATATGATTGGAGCAGGATTAGCACAGAATTACTGAATAACTAAATACAAAACAGTATTAAACCTGTTTGGTTTGGTATTGAAATGAGCAACACAGGATATTTAATTAATCACATAGGTCACTTTAAACACAGATTATCAGACTTCCTTTTTCACAACTATTCTCAAATCTAAGGGGAAAATTCATTAAGCTATTCTGTAATCAATCGCCTAATTGATAAGTGACTGAATTAAGCTTATCAAGCCTAATTTATCTTATTTATAATCTAACAAGGTAAACCAAAGCAAATTAATTAAGTTTGACTAACTTTATTTGATTACTTGTTACCAAATAAAGTAATTAATTCAAATTGAGGCTATATTCTTAAACTATACTTAAGGTAAAGCTAATTTATTTGTATAGCACAATTCAGTACAAAGACAACGAAAGTGCTTTACATGATTAAAATATAGGAAAATAAAACAGAATCAAAGCAAGTAGGAATAAAATAAGAAAATAAATAAAGAAAAAAAAAGAAAAAAAAAAAAGATCTAAGCACAAAGTATTGCTATCAAGCACCTGCAATAAGAAACCGCAAAACCTGGTGAAAAACTACAGGAAACGTTTGACTTCTGTAATTGCAAACCAAGGCTACTGTACCAAATATAACATTGATTTTCTCAGGTGTTCAAATTATTGTTTTTTTCAGCTATACCATAAAAATGACTAGTTAAATAAAAACATACATTGTGATTTCTGGATTCTTTTTTTAGATTATGTCTCTCACAGTGGACATGTAGCTACGATGACAGTTTTAGACCCCTTCATGGTTTCTAAGTGAGAGAACTTGGAGAAGCATATATTGTCCAAATAGTTATTTTCCTCACTGTATGAGACATGGCAGTCCCAGATAAAATGTAAGGGAGCCCGCGGATTCTTCCCCGGGGCTCCTGGTGAATCCAGTATTGCGATGGCTGGAGGTTTTCCTCTGGGCCATCTCTCCTCTTCCCTTAGTGGGGGGTCGCATTTCCTGGGTTGGCCCCTCCTGGGCGCCTCTTGGGATCCCTTTGGTGCTTTGGGTCACCCAGCACTCACCTCGGTGCTCTGAGGGGGGGCTGCGTCTTTGGCTCCTCACAACCGCTATTGAGCATTTTTTCCTTGGATGAACTTTACTTAGAGATTCACTTCCATACAGAAAGCCCATATTCTAATCTTCAGCTACCACAGTATACATGTCAGATGAAAATATACCACGTATACTTCAGCAATAGTATCAAGGTGTTACTTTATTGTATCTCTTCTACTATATCCATTGGTTGTGCTGTTCTTTTTATGTCTTTGCAGGTGATGAAGCAGACTGAAGATGTTTTATTGTTATCTCCCTTTTATCTCCTCTTTCTTTCAACTTTTCTCCTTTTTTTCTGTTTTTCATTTCCTGTTCTACTTATATTGCAGTGTCCATATAATCTGTAATACCCCCTGCATGAATTATAATAAAGTAATTTATATGCATAAATCAAGTGGAACACTATGGCGATAGCCCTACTGCTCCACTTGTGAAAGCAAAATCTGTTGAACCCTTATTTGGCATCAAGACAATTATTCTTATTGCCACATCGCCAGACAGGACACTGTTTAAAAATAAATAAATAAACAGTGTGTTTCTTTTTGCTTTGGTAGCATTTTATCTGTGACTATAAGATATGTGAAATGATGCATGAGGCGAGTGGTTAGTCTGCATGTTTGAGGAGAGGACAGTTTCCCAAGGGGGAAAAACAAATAGGGGTGGGGTTTTGTAATTCATCCTGTTTTATGAGCTGATGATCACATTCATCTTTTACCCAATCAATGCAGCTAGGTAGTCAGAAATGTAAAGTCAGTAGTATTTAGATGTTTACTAAGAATTCTTACATTCATATCCATCAGGAAGGTCCACACACACGCCGCCATGGATACAAGGATTGCTCACACACCAAACACGTGTTTGGCAGGTCTTTCCTGTGTATTCCTCTTGACAGGAACAGATAAAATCATTGAAGGTTATGGAGCATTCTCCTCCGTTCTGACAAGGCTGGGTCTGCAAAGGGAAGCGTAATGACTTAGTACAAACAGAGCAATGTAAAAAATGCAAACTGTTAAAGATAGGCTCTGTGTGTGCACCCGGATGCTCTATTTCTCTGGTTCTTTTTCCTGAAAAAGAGATCATTCAGACAAACTCTTTAAGTAACACTTCATAACTTTTATGTATTAAGTAACCAGGAGACATGACAACATATTTTGATAGAAATTGTAATCTTATTCAGATCAGAGAAATTGCTTAGGGTTACAGAATGGCAGCTGCTCACCTCTGGGCTCACCTCTCAGGAAGTGGCCCTGATTAACAGTTAAAAAGGCATTTTATACAACTCCAGTCTGCCACATCATCATATTTTACATCAAACACGTTAGCAGATGATTAGACATCCATTACTCCAGCCTAATCAAAACAGGACACCGCTCTCATTCCATTTCCAATCTTTGCCACGTACAAAATGAACATTATAACTGTATATTCAGACAGAGGAAATGTCCTAATTAGATTAAAATATCAGTTCTGACAAGCAACAGGCAGCCAATACTCGGCTGTGTGCTCGGAAAAAACGATCTAGAAATAAGTACAAATTTCTTAAATTAAGTGTATTTACCCTTAATTTGAGTAGGAAAATTAGATAGTTTGCCAATGGCATAAGCATTTTTGGGTGTAGGTACAGTGTGCAGGAACACTGGGACACAAGGATTTACCATTTGGAGTTTTTATTTGCTGCAAGTTTCAGGATTTTCTGGTTGGTAGTTCCTGGTAGGTAATAGTTTTTATTCTTTGTTTGGCTAAAATGTTTCCTCTTCTCTCTTGGTTTCTACATTCAGAGGTTGTTGGTCAATGTGAAAGTGACGTTAACGTGTCTCTGAAGAAGTTTGAATGTGTCTCTGGAAGTGTTGCTAAAGCCGGAAAGAAAACCTTTCTGGATGAGATCTACACAGAGCTCTATATCAGAGAGGAAAAGACTAGAGAGGTCAATGATGAATGACGTTAAAAGGATTGAAGGAGCATCCTGTAAACAAATGCAAAAAAAAAGGAAGAAATCTGTAAAGGGGCAAACAACCGTCTACTGAACTTTGAACATTCAGATGTATAAAAGAAAGTATACAAATGAAAAATAAAGTTTTGATGTAACTCTATGCCAAAATAAAGTTAAACCTTGATTGAAAAATATATAGTACTTCACAATAAGTTGGTAATGGTTCGAATGGGAGATAATTCTGAGCCAAAAATCAAACTCCAAGTTTAAAACGTAGTGGTGAGAATACAAAAGCTTCTGTTGGATTAAAACAGCAATCCTCAAGCTGATATTATTACGGTCTGGCAGTTATGGTGAGTTTACCGTCGTTTTAGTTGGTTTGATCTTGTGCCTTCATTTTCATGATATCAGAGACTTTGAACACTTAACTAAAACAAAAATTATGAATAAAAGAAATGAAATTGTTTTGATAGTCAATTAGCAGATTTAAAAAGAAAAAAACTTTTTCTTACCTTGCAGGTATCATCACTAATGCAGCCCTCTGTCCAATTTCCAGATTCATTTGATACATAAACTATTTCATCTGAGCGGCTCCAGCCAGTCGGATCTAAATGTGCGGAGTCCAGACGAACGTCCTGGAGGCAGCCTTTAAAATGTCCCCCCCACCTATCAGAGTCCCAGCCCTCTGGAAGCCCTCCAACATACGCCTTGTCTCCGCCCAAAACCGTCACCTCAGGGATCTCTCCTATTCCAAAGTTAAGACCTGCATGATCAAAAATCACAGACGTGTGTTTGACTTCCACAGAAAGAAACTGTTTCTGCCCATTGGTTACAAACACTGGAGCCGTCAGTGGGAAGCTGTCAGGCAGTGAGCTGACAAAAACCCTTCCCGTCCTCAGGTAGATTGAAAAGTAGACCTCCCCCTCATCTCCCGCAGAGGGTCTTCTCAGCTGAAATATCAGCCCATCTGGCTTTACGGACTTCAGAAAAAAGGAGACACTGAAGTTGCTTCCATGGCTGTCTTTGATGTCGTAGGAACTAAAACTCACTGTTTCCTCGTGGCTGTAAGTCCATGAAAAGTATTCTGTTGGAAGACAATAAAATGTCAGATTTAGGAATTACCTCAGCATTTAGTAAAGAGAATAAGCAGTTATAACATGATAAATATTTTGCCTCTTTTTGTCCTTTGCCATTTAAAAATAATAATAATGGACTCCTATTTTCCACAATCACTGTCAGGGAATTAATATGAGGTTCTAAAGCCCAGGCTAATAATGTATGTGTAACATTCCAACTTGTTTGTGCTCTTATTTAAACTTTTTCATCTGAAAGAAGAAAGTATATCCTTCTGTCTACCAGTGGCTACTCACAATGCAAGAGAATATCTTTGAAAGCCTACTCATTTAAAACAACCATGGTGGTGACAACTGTTAGGAATCCAGTCTGTGTGGGTTGTGTTTTTGTTTGTTTTCCCTCCACCACCAGGTGGCGCCTGGTTCTCGTTGATCCTCCGAAACACACCTGCGGATGGTTGCCTCATTACCTGAGGACTCTTAAGCTGCTGACTGCCACTACCTCTACGCCAGAGTGTTTGCCAGTTTTGGGTACTCTAGCCAAGCTGTGTTTTGCTGAGTCAAATTGAGTTTTTGTCTTCCTGAGTCTTAACCTTGTTGTTTTTGTCTTTGCCTCTCGGCAGGAAGTAATCCTGCAAACTGGATGTTTTGGACCTTCTCTCCCTGGACCGATCATCTGAGCTTGAAACTGAGCTGGAGATTCAAACTGGAGGTTTGGATCTACCTTTCCCCAAGGGATTGTTTGAGCTTCACACTGAGCAAGGGATTCACCTCCACAAGAAACCGTTCAAGTACCATTGGAAATCTTTGTGGCAGTCAGCTTCTCCGTTCCTCAAGGAAACACCTCAACCTGGGTAAAGCCTGTCCTCCCTCCAACGAGCAAGTCAATTACTGGAACAACCCTCAACGACTGGATTCAGAGAAAGACACCTTTTCTGGAAAAGTGAGTCCTGTTGGCTTTATTCCTTTTTGCAAATCGAAGTTCAAATTTCCCACTGAGCCTGAACTAACCACAGGAACTTCCCCTTCTTTTTTCAGTCCCAGTTCACCAGTGTTCAGACCAGCACTGCACCCATCTCTACCAGTTCTCAATAAACTTGTTAAACCTTCCCCTGGTCTCTCTGTTTGGTTTTCTGCATGTGGGTCAGATCTTTAAATAAAATCATGACAACAACATGTTACTCTTATATATAGAAATATAAAAATGCAAATAACAACCATGAGAACAAACACTTAAAAATAACAGTAGAAACAATAAAACAGAGTTAACAAAATAAGTTTAATGCAATGTGTAAACCGCAGGAAAATAAGGTGTTTTTAACCTTTCACCACCTGTATGATTTTAGCTTGTCCACTAAAGTTGGCATTGCCTATTTAAAGTAATTATACAACATACAGCTTGCAGGTGAAAGTATTTTAAAGTGCAGGCCGTCTAGTTTTTCGTAATATGGTGATATATATATATATTTTTGGACATAACAATATACAGTTGTTCTTCATGTAAACATGGCCAAATATATCGATAGTACAATGTATGTTGATGCTGTAGGTCTTTTTATACGAAATTGGTCCACTATTGTGCCAAATATGTGTCTAAATGTGCCAAATTCTGCTAAATTCTGCTTTATGCTTTTTTCTTCAGTTTATTGGATCATAGTTTTATAACAGGGACAAAAGAAAGTGTGTAACATCCCATAGTATGTGATGATATCTCTGAATTAAGTGGCTCTAAACACTTACACCCAACACAGAGCATGTGAGCGGAGAGGAGCGTGGATCGAGTGTTGGAGCGGAGCAGAAGAAATATGGTGGAGCGCAGAGCGGTTTTTAAATCAAAGGCCGGAGTGAGGATTTCGCTCCGCTCCAGCTTTCTATGATACGAGGTGTTACGTTCACAGCTGGGAAACGGTGCGATAATGAGTGAGCGAATGAGTGAACGTCTTCCTGAGTGGGAAGCAGGAACTGTGCTCCGCTCTGTTCACATGCTCTGACCACAACATCAGCTGGTTTCAGGTATGGAGCAGCTCGGAGAGGTAAGAAGGGGCAGGACCGTTTTAACTTTCAAAACAAATAACAGAATCTTAAACTGGATTCTAAAATGCACAGGCAGCTAGTGCAAGGAAAGCCATGGTGGGGGTGATGAGCTCCATTTACTACCTCAGAAGTCTAGTGACAGCATTCTGGCCCATCAGTTCAGTTCAATTCAGTGTATAGAGCCAATTCAAAACACATATCCTCTCAAGGCACTTTACAGTTCACCAGATCATCCAGTCAGATTGATTCAAAGTTTTCTATCAAAGGAAAACCAGTTGATTGCATCGACTCATTGACTCGAAGGCAATCCCTCACACTAAGCATGCTTGTCAGTCATCAGAGGACTAACTTCAAGGTACTGTAGGTCTATTGAGTCAATGCAATCAACTGGTTTTCCTTAGATAGAAAACTTTGTATCAATTTGACTGTATGATCTGGTTGAACTGTAAAGTGCCTTGAGATGACATGTGTTGTGAATTTGGCGCTATATAAATAAACTGAATTGAATTGAATTGAATTGAATTATTGTACCTAGTTGTACCTTTGTTACTACCTGGTTATCTAACAAAAACATCATTGTTCATCTTAAAACCCAAGTTTGAAGCAAAATTGACTATTTTAACATACAGTTCTGTCTGTTAGACAAGACCTACACCAGTTTGATTTGGTACCACAGATACTCAGTGCTGTAAAGGGAAGAACAAAATATTTTGGTCCACTGTTTTAAAGTGATTAAGGCAAGAAGACCAAGAACACATATTCACAAGAATCTTTTGCCATATGGGTAAGGCGTAGCGATTGTGTCATTTGTTTGAGTGCACAGGCACCAATCCGAGCACGCGGTGAGACTGGTATTCAGCATTTAAACATCACATGTGGGTGCTCAAAACCACACGTGCATGCTCATAACCTGTCTGGCTGAATACCTGCCTCAGTACGAGCTTGGATTGGTGCCTGCGCGTTCAAACCAATGCCACAATCGTTCGGCCATTTATGGCTGTCAATAAAAACATGCACTGGAGCAGATTCTGTGCTGTGATTTTAAACTTTTAAAACTGGATTAAAAACATCCAATAAATGATAGTTGTCTAAATAGGACTTCACTTCCAAAAAAAAAAAAAAAAAAGTAAACTAATTTAGAAATAAAAGGCAGCTTAGAAATGATGGCTGAAAAATTAGGCTGACACCATGTTTTTCATTATCCCAAACTGCTAAAATACTTTGAAAGGTGCTAGCCCAGTCTGGGAATGGTTAGCTTGGCATGAAGCCATCACATTCAGTTCTTCATCAACTTCTCAAAAGACCGATCTGTTTCGAAGTGCATTTATCATGTCATGGACAAATTGCCAGTTCTAGACTGCTTGAAGCACCAGGAACACAGATATGCAACAACCTGTACTAATAGCCACCATCATCTTTTAATGTGGAAGTATTTGTAGATTCTTTGGTCAGCCAAATACACTTGTTCTCCATCAGAGTAATGAGGAGCTAACTAGATCCTAACTTCATTGCAACTACAATCTCAAAGTTGTAACTGTGTATCTATTTAGGCAAATCTGGATGCACTCAGTCTGTGTGAACTGATTACCAAATGAACAAAAAACTCTAAAAACCCAAACATTTAACAGGGAAAACTAGGTCTCCACCCTTAGCTGGCTACATTACTGAAAAACAGACCAGGTATTTGCATGATTATTTAGAATGAGTTAAAAGCAGCAATGATACTATAAATTCCCAATAAATAACTAACGCTGCCACTGTTTGTTGGGTTTCTAATAAGGTGAAATCAACAAGAATTTAAGCCAATACTAAATTGAAGCTAATATAGAGAAATTTACACCCTTTTATCACCATCTAGGGAAAGATTAATGCGTATGGGACTTCGTAGCTGTAGCATGCTGATTCTTTAACTACTGTCATGATCCTGCCCTTTGTGGACTATTTAAGTTTACATTTCTGAGATTTATGTCAGTCTCTTTTCTTGGTAATTGTTTTTTCCCATTTTGTGCAATTGTAGTTGATTTCTAGTTGTTTTTAAGCAGTGTTGTGTTTTTTGTGTTGCTCTCTGTTGCCCTCTTATGGCAGTCTCTTTTCCCTCGTCTAGCTGCTTCTATCCACACCTGCTCCCTGTCAGCTGATTATTCCATACTTTGTTCTGTCATCTTCATATCATATGTACCCTCTCTGTGCAGTTCCTCAGTGTTGGTTTCTCTTCATTGCTTTGCTCTCCATATGTTGTTTTCCTCTGGCATCTGCTGCTTCTTTTGTTTATTGTATTTTATAATTGTATTTTGTTTCTGTTGCCCTCTTTGATTAACTCTGCAAGACCCCATGTCTGCCTCCTCATCTCTGCATTTGGGTCCTCAGCTGACTTCCACCAAACCTTGACAACAATAATGCAGAAAGCATACAGAAAATGAAGAAGATGAAACCAGGTGGGAGCATATTCTTACCTTCAGAGCAGCTGTCCCCGTGGAAGGGACGGGTACAGTCACACTGGTAGTCAGTCCACAGATCCACACAATGGCCATGCCCATTACATGGGTCAGGTTTACACCATTCAGTCTTGGAACATCCCAACTCAAAATACTGCTCCTCTGGAAGTGCTTGGGGTAGAATAGGTTTTGAGTCAATAATAAGGTCTTCAATACATCCAAGGAATCCTGCACGACTTAAAGAGAGCTCCAAAAGCTCCTTTGGTGCTCCCCCAATGTAAACATTAATAAAGGCTGTAGAGGGCTGGAAAGGGGGTTCCCCATCACCAACGTCTGTAACTGTGCATCCATCTTTGTCACAGTTAGGACCTTTAAGGAGCAAGAATAGAACTCCATTATCCAGAAACACATGAACATTCCTCCAGTCTCCATCATTAACAGGGCCGGGAAATGTTACATCCAATTCAGACTCCTCAGAAAAGGCTGTTGCATGGAGACCACCGTTCACAATTTCCAGGAGAAAATAAGTATCCAGATCCCCTCTGTAGAAAATCAACATACTGGGTAAAGTTGTCCGAAAGCGAAGCTGTAACCCCAGACCGTGGTGAACACGGTGCTCCACCTCCCTGCGGACCTTTTCTTTGAGAGGAACCTGGATATGAATGAACCCAGGGGTAGAAAGGGAGAATGTTGTTCTCGTAGAGCATTGCTCATCATAGAAGCCATACGGACACAAGCAAGTGTAGCTGTGCCTTCCATCTTGTAGCGTCGGAAGACAGCTGGCTCCATTCTGGCATTCGTGGCCTACACAGCCATAGAGTTTAACCTCACAGTCGTCCCCTCCCCATGGAAGCTGACCAGGCGGGGCTTCAGGACAATGGCAGATGTACGATGCTCTGCCATCTTCACACCAGCCACCATTTTGACAGGGCTGGCTCTCACATTCATCAATGTTCAATTCACACAGCTCACCTGTAGAAAAAGATAACTCTGTTAGAAGAAGCAGCAGTTGGCAACTTGAACAGGTACAACAACCAGGTTTTTAAAAACAGCAATGAATTTTAACCTTACTGTTCTGTTCAAATTCCATATCATTTAGTTTTGAAGAAGGAATCCACCAGGCATTAATGGACGAAATTCACCTTTTCATTGTATGCCAAGGAAAAGTGGAGTTATCTGATTTATTTTGAAGGACTTTATTAATTGATATAAAGGTTAGCTCATGCAAAACTTTACTTTTTTCCTTATAGCTTTTTACACTTGCTGACATACTGAATATCAACACTTCACCCAAAGTCCGTAGTGATGGTCAGCAATATTTATATTCTTGTGTTTAGAACTGATCAAAGTTTGTTTGATCTGTTGATTTTTTTCTGACCAAAGTACCAAAATGTCAATGTTCTGATCATAGAGCTACTTAAACTATCTTAATCTCAGGACACAGGGCACCATCAGACCGGAAATCTCCAAACCATCACCTAATTGCATAGATTGGTGTAACAATTATTTCTTACAGGACTTCTATGCAGGACATATGATCATATGACATATGACATATGAAGTGCTGAATTAAGAAACAACCTCAGTACAGGACAGGGCCAATTATAAAACTCACTTTTTCTTTGGAAATAAAAAAAACAGATATCCTGAAAATGTAACTTTCCCTGAAGTTTTACTTGAAAAAATGTCACATATTTGCCTCTCCTCTTCTCAAAGTGTCCAAACATCTCCTCCTACCAACGAAATTTCTGCGATGTTGAGCTAGCTCTGCACTGGTGGCAGTAAAGGCCCGGTCACACCTTGACGATTTAGCCAGCTTATGTCTGACATACGAAAAATCTGGCAAAAATGCTGGCATACTTTGGATAAGTTATGGGTATTTTTTTATAAAGTTATGAGCACGTAGAAGCACACTGAAGCACGCTGACACACGTCGACATACGACAATTCAATACATGGGCCATAAGTTCCAGGTAAGTTATCTGATCATTGACATACGTTAATTGTAAGTTACTCATAAGTCGTGGCGTCTAGCTTATCCTAAATCTATAAGTAACTTGTGCGTAACTGATGTGTAACTTATCAAGAACTTATCTCTGTTTCTAACTTCCAGCTACTGTATAGTGCCGTATTGGCAGCATTTTAGTATAAAGGGGGTCCACAGGAGGAAACTGTCAGTTCTCCTCGTGGCTTCATCCCCATAATAGGGTGAGCGAGAAGGTGAATGTGATGGATCCTCCCTTCGTTCACGCCAACCACAAACAAACTGCCACCAGAAACCTTCTTTCTTTCTTTTTATTTATTTATTTATTAGATTTTTATGATAATAGTTATAATTATTATTATATTATTTATCATTTAAACAGCAGCTAGATTAATACTGTGATGAAAGGCATATTTTAATCCAGGCCTTGGGGCGCATCCCTGGTGCTCTTGTCATTTAAAACTTTACCTAAGAATCCAACAGGACACACACAGGTGTAGCCATTGACCTCATCCTCACAGCTCCCTCCATTCTGACAGGGTTCAGATTCACATTCATTTATATTTATGGAACAGTTCTCTCCTGGAAAACAGAGAAAAACATCAGTCTTTTTTATTAGAATTTAAATATGAAAGATGCTTTCACCACTGTCTCATTCAGATTTGCCAACCTGCAAACCCTCCTTGGCACTGGCAGGTATACCCAGCTGCCTCTGCAAAGCTGAGCTCCCAATCAAGTTCCCAGTGAGACGGATCTGAGCGCTCCAAACATTTCCCCCCGTTCTGACATGGCTGCTTAGCACACTCATCAATGTCAACTTCACAGTTAGGTCCTTCATAACCTAGACAGAAAAAGCACATATTAATTTACCGGGTATGTCTCTTCCAATATTTACACAACTGACTTTGATCATCCATATTTGATCCATATTTTTCTCATTACTTTTTCTACTCATCAAATTAGATTTTACCTATTGAGAATAATGACAGATTATAAAATTTCCTCTGCATATATAACATTAAATAGCCTTAATAAAGTAGTGTGAGCAAACATTATTTCGCCCCATTCAATCTCTAAAGACCGCTCCCCCCATGCATCAATCCCTACCTCATTGGAATGAGGCTCATCCTCTGTTCCCAGCCGAGCTTCCAAAGCTCACGCCATCACTCTCATCCTCCTCTTCCCTTTTCACAAGTTTTTATCCAAATTCTGTTCATTTTCGTTAATGCCTTTTACGTTTTTTTGTTTTTTGTTCTTGCTTTTTTTTTTTACAAAGCAGCACCTTCTTTAAAGGAAGACACAGCCCTACTTAACTTACAATTCTTTTAACTGCATTCATCCTTCTCATCCCTCCATCTCTCCTTTTATTCATTTCTTGGCCCTTTTTCCATGCTTTTTAAGCATCCCTACTAACAGACCAGTTTTGGTCCCTCAGATTCCTCATGACCAGTTTTTATCCCATGAATCCCAATTCCTCTTTACAAACCCTCTTTAACCCATTCATTCACAGGAAATCTTTATGACAGGTTTTTTCACAGTCTTCTCCATGTTCACAACTTTTACCCATTCTCCTCACCTCTTAATATAAACCCAATTTATTCCCCTCATCTGTCTAATTTAGAAGTATTAATATTTATCACTCATGTAGAAGTATAAATTCTACTATGGCTGCAACTAACAATTATTTTCCAAATCAATTAATCTAATTATAGTTTTTTTAATTAATTTATTAATAATCGGATAACCAAAGTTTCCTTAAAGAAGTTTTTTTTTAAAGATATCAAACCGGGTGAAACTAAAACTTTTCCACTAGAGGAGTTCTGGATAGAGCATATTTCCAAACAATAAAAAAAAGAAATAAATAAAACTTAAATGCAATAAGTTTATATATTTTTTTTTTACAATTTTGATACAATTACTGCTATGGGTCGCTCTGTCATCTAAAGATGTGTTTTAGAGCTTCTATTAATCGATTACTAAATTAGTTGATGATTATTTCAATAATCAAATAATCACGATTAATCTGATTAATTGTTTCAGTCCTAAATTCTACAGTTTATAAACACTTTTGTAAAAGTTAGACTCAACTTTTACAAAAGTCAAGCTTTTTATTCAAGTAAAAGTGTAAAAGTACCATTTATATAACTGCTTAAATTATAAAAGGAAGAGTAATGCAGGAAAAACATTTTAAGGACCGACGCTTTACTGCGCTACTCTATTAAAGGTTTTTTTTTCTACAATTCTGGATGATAACTTCCTTATACTTCATTTTATTGGTTTTATAACTAATGGTAACAGTGTCAAATTTAACTTTCATCATCTTGAAAAGCTATTTTGGTATATGGGGAACAACAAGTTGGGGCAGGACCGACTCCAGCAAAAGAGAAATTAATTGTCCAATTAATTAATTTTTTTGTCTGGATGAAACAAATTATTTTGATGGATTTTATTTGTTTTTAAATAACTAAAGGCCATGATGAAAATGAGCTTAAATTAAACAAAACTAACAAGTCTATTTTTAAAATGTAAGGATCTTCTCCTCAAATTTTTTGTATCCAAGTAAAAAGTTGTCTAAAAAAAATGACTCCAGTAAAATTTCTACTTAAGTAATGTAACATAGTATTTGTACTTTGTTACTTGTCACCTCTGGTCTTATTTCTTCTTATTTCCACTGTTCTGTCTTTCTCATATTTCTTTGCAACCCTTCCCTTTCCATTTCTAATGAGTATCTAAATCCCCCAATCCCTTTTCTGATTAATTTATATCCCACTCATCCATTACATCCATTTTAAGCCCCTCTTTTTATAGTCATCTCCATCATTTTTATTACACTCAACACTCCTCTTCTATCATTACAACTCCCCTTCCACCCCTTCATCCTCTCTTTCCTTGTTTATAAACTATATTTATCCCAATTAACACCCAAATCACTCATAATCTACTAATTTTTACAAATTAATTCATCCTATACATAATTGCAACCCCAACAGTTCTGATTCTTTTTACTTTTGAACCCAATTAAGCCTTTACATACCGACTACCAGCTTTTTATCTCATGGTGCACTAATCGACAGTCTTTTGCATAACTCCTCCACATTGAAAAGAAGTTTAACTCAGAATTTATTCCATCTAATCTCAGATCAGATGCATTTTTCTTGTTGATAGTTTGTTTTATCAACACAAAATCAGTGAAATAGCTCACCCCCCAAACCTTATGATCCAAATGCCCTCATTAAGACACAAAGTCTTACGTACAGGAGATGCCAGCTTAAAATCATCTTACAATATAAGACTACTATTTTTTTTTTATAAAAAAAAAAAATTCAAATTCAATACAATACTTTAAAACAAAATTTTCCAGGTGCCTTCAGTATTGTAAAATCAAAAATCTTTTTTACCACAATGGACAGTGATCATTGTAGTTTCACTGTCATGGATGAAGGATCAGAGAGTTTTTCAGTACCTGGCCAACAGAGACACATATATCCTTTTACTTCTTCTAGACATGTGGCACCATGCTGACAGGGATCAGAGGCACACTCAGCAATATCCACTTCACAGTTCTTGCCCTCAAATCCAGTGTTACTGCAGTTACATTCATAGCTGGAAAAGACAAAAACTGGTGATTAGACTGGAGAGAGTCGACATTCTGAGACCTTAAAACATTTCCTGATCTCAGTATACAAACACTAAATTCTGTTCAATAGAGAAGAGGAAAACTGCAAAATGAATAAAGGCATGTTGGTGTAAAATGGACTCCTATCAGCACTCCTATAACTTATAATAGTATCATTACAGCAAAGGTCTAAAAATATATGTATCATTAGCACACCTTAACATGCCATGTGGGTTAAGTCTGTGGACTGAATGGCATTCTGTGCTGGTATGTATACAGAGTTAATATCTGCTCTTCCAACACCTAATAAGCTCATTTTCTATCATAATATTGGTTTTATTTTTTCATATAGGACTGACTGATGACTGAATGAGATTTCAAATATTCCAACAGAGTAAAAAAAACAATCCACTGGACTTTGTTTCCAAGTTTGAAGACGTTTCGCTTCACATCCAGTAGATTGTGAATTGAAAAAGCTTCCTGGATTGGAAGTGAAACGTCTTCAAACTTGGACACAAAGTCCAGTGGATTGTTTTTTATTCTTTTCGTGATGACTATGACCAAGTTGACAGAGAATCTTCACCAGAGATTTAAAATAATTTATACTAAA